CAAATGACTCACCCTTCATGCAACTAAAGCATAAAGCTGAATTCATTCTTCTAATATCAGGAAATTAATGATACATGCCATGATGTTTTGGCTCTCTTTACTTTATTACTCCTATTATTAATTAGATACAAAACCTTAGACACCACAAGTATATGTTATAATGTATGTCCTTGCATGTTCAAAAAAAATAAATAGAAAATATAGTAATATTCAATTTTTTCTATATCGATATTGTTTGTTTAGACATTTTTTTATTGATATAACGAATACTGTTATAGAAAACATATACTAGTATAACATGAAAATTAATCAAAGAAAAATTTGATTGTTATTGTGAAATGTTATCGCAGAGTATAAATAATTATACAGAGAAAGTCTGATGGTATATATGTTGAAACTTATATCAGCATCTCAAGTGAAAGGTGAATAATCCAATTATTTTATATGACGCTTAAGGTTTTGTTATATACAATTAAAAAAGTTATTTGATAGCACTAATCATACGGATTATTCTAAATTAGCAACAAATATAAACTTTGGCTCAATTTTTTTTCTTAATTAAAGTGGCAACAAATAAAAATCCAGAAGGAGTATTTTGAAAACGAGTCATGTAGTATTTTATACGATTATTATTATTTGTTGTTTGCTAGGTGGAAGTGAATGCAAGTAATGATGATGAGTAATTAAGATAGGTCAAATCACCCTTAGATTTAAAATTCCAAAGTAAATAATGAATGATAGATTTTGTTTCCGTTTTATTTCAATGGAGAAAGAGACATTGTTTCAGAACTATCCAAAGAAAACAAAAGATTGTACCATGTTTAGCTTAGATTTAGTGAGGAACTGCTGGTCAATTGAAGGACACAACACAACAAACCCACTCATCCCCATGTATTGCAGTGAAGTGCTAATAAATACTCTCTGTCATCATAATTTATGTATTATATTGTTTGACTTGACATAATATTTTTTAAAAATTTGATAATTGTGATGTATGGGCTAACTTTCATACATCCTAACTAATCTCATGAAATATCTATCATCACCCCAGTAATAGATATCAAATAACTCTGTCCATTAATAATAAGACAAATAAAATATATATTTTAAAATTTAATCATTACTGTATATACAAATCTATCATTCTTTTTAAATTGACTGAAAAAATATGTGTCATAGGACTTAGTTGGCATGTTTATATGTGACAAAAAAATATGGAGAAGAAAGATATCCTCTGTACACACTGATTCCAACCCCTGCCTTCTCTCCTATAAGACCCTATTAGTAGACCTTATTAAAAAGGAGGACATATGCATATGCTTGTGATTCCATCTATAAATGAAGGCATATTTTATTATTTAATTTATTCCTATTGAATTTAGTTGAAACTACACGTATTACTAATATCGTCTCAAATTATTTATCAAAATTTTTAATAATAATTATCTTAAATTATTTGTCAGTTTATAAGTTTAAGATACTTTTTTACCAATTGATGTACCTTTTATAGTACTTTCTTGCATATTACAAACACTTCAAAAAATATGATACATAGATAGAATAAATATTCAATGAAGAAAAATTATGTCTCATGAGATAAAATAAGATAAATAGCTAAAAATTCAGAAAAAGTACTAGGAGAACTCCACTTATACAATTTTAGCAAGGAGACAAATCTTTTTTTTTTCTAAGAAAATTGTACGTTTTACATGCCAACTTTCATTACTCAACAAGGGGAAGAACTTTGAGATTAAGCATTCCACAACTTCCCAAAGTATAAAATAAGTTTTATTTATGCATTAGAGTTTGTATAACTTATACAATATTTATTAGTAGGTGGATAAGAAACAAGTTATTCATGTGTATAATTAATACATCTTCTGATAGGTGGATAAGAAAAAATTATTCATGTATATAATTAATATGATGTTTGATAGGTGTATAAGAAAAAAATATTTATGAATAAATTAATACGACATTTGGTTGATAATTTTGAAATTTGCATAACGAATACATGTATAAGTTATGAGGAAATTTGTATTTTATTTATGCGGAGTAGAAGGTCGAATAATTAATATGTGTATAGCTAATACATGAATAAAAAGTTAAAATGAAAATATTACCCTTCACTCTCACTTGACTACTTTCTTCTACTACATAATTAAAGAAATATTTTAATTTAAATACAAAGTTAAAGAAGGAAAGGATTGTAAATAAATGTTTTAATTTTTTTAAAAATATATATATAATTTTACTAACTTTTAATATAAAAATCCAACATCCAAAAGATTAATTTATGCATAACAAAACTCCGCATAACTAATACTTGTATAATTAATATTTACATAACTAATATCCATATAACTAATACCACATTACTAATACGTGCATAATTAATACCCATACTCATACTAATACATTGTACATATATAACTCTATCCACTGCCAAACTACCCTAAAATATTGAGACTGGAGCACAATTCTACTAAACAAATAGAGAGTGGGGAGGGCTGTTCTCTATAAAAGAAGGATTTGGAAATTCATTTATAACAAAAGCTTTTCATTGAACATTCATATTTGTATAGTGCTATAATGCATAGGTATTAAGAATGATTTTCCAAGAAAATGTTTTAGGTAAACTTCATTAAAACAAGACAGATGTAATTTGCTACAACAACATATAAATATAATATGATGATGTAAAATGTTCTTACACCAATTTTATCGTCATTAGCAAATAATGAAGGGAAAATGCATAAGTACCCCCCAGTCTATATCCGAAATCCCAGAGACACACCTAACCTCTACTAAGGTCCTATTACCCCCCGAACTTATTTTATATGTAATATTCTACCCCTTTTTGGCCTACGTGGCACTATCTTGTGGGCCCAGCGCATGTTGACATTTTTTTTCAAGGATAGTGCCACGTAGGCCGAAAAGGGGTAGAATATTATAGATAAATTAAGTTCGGGGGGATAATAGGACCTTAGTAAAGGTTAGGTGTGTCTCTGAGATTTCGGGCATAGGCTGGGGGTACTTATGCATTTTCCCATGAACTTAAATTAAAACTCTAAACTCTAAAGTATATGTTTTGTCGTTTGAGGATGAGAGTAGACCCAAAGTGCAAGGAAGATAAGACATCGATCTGCCAATTACTTATCCAATCCTTTGAGGACAGAGATTGAATCTAGCCCATCTATATATCGTGGTTGTAAATTTGTATTGGATTCACAGTATGGGCCTAGTCCAATTCCATTATTCTTTGTTCACTCGAATCAAAAGTTATTGAGTTTTGTCAAATCGATAGTCAATATTCTAATTCCGCTCTTGATCCTACTAACTTTTCCCTTGTAGTTTTATTTTTTCGACCCTTAATATTTTGGTTGAAGAGTCACGCCGGTTTTAGCAAGATAGAGACATGTTTAACCACCATTAGGATTTTCTTTTGCTTTGTAGTAGCTTCTTTTAAATAAATATTAGGGAAAATACATAAAACCCCCCCTGAACTTGGCACGAAAACTTACTTTAGTACTTAAACTTTACAGGTAATTATTTACCCCCCTTATCTCTTTTCAAGTGAATTTAATATTCCCCAAACAGCTGACGTGGCAAGTCAAGAAATTTACTGCGCGTAAATATCAAAAGTTAAAGAGAAAAATAATACGTGGGCCCCATTTTTTTCTTTTTAGCCAATAATCTTTTTTTCCTTCATCTTCCTCACACCCCACCACCCCTCTTGCCTTCCACCACCACTTGTACCACCTCTTTCTTCTTCATCGAACCCCCCACCTCTTTAATTTCTCCTTCTTCGAAACCCCCATCTAGACCCTATTTCTCCTCTTAGAAGCCTCACCCTCTTTCTTTCTCTTCAGATCTGCCGCCTCAACCACCACTGCATCACCCTTTTCTTCTTCTTCTTCATTGAACTTTCCATCTTCTTTCTCTTTCTTTGAACTGCCCCCACCCCACCTCCAGTCCCTTTGGATCCGTAAAAGGGTGTGATGAATAGGAAAAAAATAGAAAAGCCAACAATTTGTTCTTGCTTCAAAATTATTATTTATGGTAGTGTTTGAATGTGATGAACTTGAAGCTCTTTTTAATGGAAAAATTATAATTTCTTCATTTCAAATTAAATTTTCAGTCAAAATTGCAATCGTAATTGAGTTGAGGAACATGGATCTTATTTAATTATGAATAAATAAAAAGAAACAAAAAAAATGAATTAAAAAAGTAAAAAATTAAATAATGTTCTACGTGGCATTGATGTGGCAATGATGTGGCGCTGACATATCAATGACGTGGCGCGTGTGAAATGCACTTGCCATTGTGAGACTGGTATTATAATTTTAGGGTTATATTAAATTTACTTGAAAAGAGATTAGGGGGTAAATAATTACCCGTAAAGTTTAAGTACTAAAGTAAGTTTTCGTGCCAAGTTCAGGGGGGTTTTTATGTATTTTCCCTAAATATTATGCCTTCCAACTTTTGATCTCATATTTATGCCTTCCAAATTTTTTTATATGTACAAGTAGACATTAAAATTTGTATAAAGTTGAATAAGTAAACATATGTGTCCTATCGTAATATACATGTATAGAATACAAATGTCTATTTGTTCCATTTTATACAAGTAAAAGTATTCATTTCAAATTAAATGATACTTCTAGAGTTAATTGTGAACTTCGACAAATCTTCAAGTCTTATAACAACATGCACATTGCAATTTAGCTAAAAATGCTTTAGTTTCAAGCCATGAAATTACAAGACACACAGAATCCAATCGAGTGGTAGCAAAGTCTCAACATTCATAACACGTAAGTATGTCTCAAAACTGGACAACCAAGCTAATTTTTTGTTGGGTTTTAAAGGTGTGAATAGAAAATGAAGGATTGTGACTCTCCTGAAGGGTTGGGTTGTGACCTTTAACATTTTTCATGATCCACATCTGAATATCTAGTTAGAAATGCAGTTGAAAATTCACATGCACAAACACAAAACACTTTAAAAAGACTAATAAAATCTTTCACAGGAAAACCACTCCAACCTTCTCTGTATCCTCAACTTTTTACTCTTTCTTCAACAAACTTCCATTCATAAATTTGGCATACTTCAACTCTTTCTTTACAAACAAACAAAACACATTCATGGCTTATAATCAAGAAGAGCAAAATGAAGAAGAGCACAAAAAAATTCAGTATCCTTTAGACTCAACATGTTATAGAATTCTCGATGAAATTGGTCGAGGTGTTAGTGCTATTGTGTACAAAGCCATTTGTATTCCTATGAATTCATCTGTCGTAGCAATAAAAGCTATTGATCTTGATCAATCAAGAGCTGATCTCGACAACATTAGACGCGAAGCCAAGACAATGTCCCTTCTTTCTCATCCAAACATCCTTAAAGCACATTGTTCTTTTACTGTCGATCGTTGTCTTTGGGTTATCATGCCTTTTATGTCTGCAGGTTCTCTTCAATCCATCATTTCCTCTGCTTTCCCTGATGGTTTATCTGAGCCCTGTATCGCCATTGTCCTCAAAGAGACGCTCAACGCGTTAGCCTACCTTCACAATCAAGGACACCTTCACCGCGATATTAAAGCAGGAAACATTCTTATAGATTCTGATGGAACTATAAAACTCGCGGATTTTGGAGTTTCTGCATCAATTTTTGAGCCGATTTCAGGCTATGGGTCGTCCTCTTCTTCCTCATCTTCGTGTTTAATGTTCACCGATGTAGCTGGAACGCCATATTGGATGGCACCTGAAGTGATACATTCACATACAGGGTACAGTTTCAAGGCTGATATTTGGTCTTTTGGTATTACTGCTCTTGAATTAGCACATGGAAGGCCTCCCCTGTCTCATCTCCCTCCTTCAAAATCCTTGTTCATGAAAATCACAAAACGATTTCGATTTTCTGATTATGAGAAAACAAAAAACAGCAAGAATTACAAGAAATTCTCAAAGGGTTTTAAGGATATGGTAGGATTATGTCTTGATCAAGATCCATTCAGAAGGCCAACAGCAGAGAAACTATTAAAGCATCCATTCTTTAAAAGCTGTAATAAAGGCCCTGACTTTCTTGTTAAGCATGTTTTGCAGGGCTTGCCAAGTGTGGAACAGAGGTTTAAACAAGTAAATATTCAGAGACTTTTGTCCTTAAAGAAATCTGATGGAGACGACGATGATGATCCGGAACATGGAGAAATTTCTAAACAAAGAAGGATCAGTGGGTGGAATTTCAACGTGGACGGGTTTGAACTAGATCCAGTACTTTTCCCAACTGAAAAAGATCAAGAAATTAGTAGCCTAAAGCCAAATTATGTTGATGATGTGGTGAAACAAGTCGATGTATCAGAATTGTTTTCTGATACATCGACTATAAGTTCACCAGGAGGTTCACGACAATCGTCTGAGGTCGAAGTGGTTGCTATGAATTGTAGTGGAGATAGAAGAATTGGAGGTGAAAGTGTTAGTAGGGAAGTAATGTTGGCTAGCTTATTGTTTTTGAAAAAGAGTTTGGATGATCAAAGACAAAATGTAATGAATTTGATAAGCATTTTTCATGGGGAACAACATGTTGTGGAAGTGAATAAGAAAGACAATTTGATTGAGGTGATTGATAAGTTGAGAAATGAAGTGGAGAATGAGAAGAAGAAAAATTCTGCTTTGCACCTCGAGATAGAGTTTCTCAAGTCGCACTATTCCAATGAGTAGTAGAAGAACTTATATATCTATTGTATTCCTAGAAATTTTTATAATTTAAGCTTTCGATATGTTATTGGGATGGAAGCGTAATTATTATTATAAGCGTTCAATGTGTTTTGTGTTATGTCTTAGTTGAATTTTCACCAATCCACTAATAACATTATTGATTTGTCCCTCCAAAATACAATAGCTCAACAATGTGTAGGACTTAAACAACTCCTGAGTCCAAACTAATTGTCGAGTCCGAAGGTCCACCAATAAAAACACCCTGTTTGAGCGAAGACTTCAAAGTTTTTTCTCCTCTCTCATCAATTCTCTTATTTAATAATAAGCTCGCACAACAATATTTTCTTATGCTTCATACATCAATATCACTAATTATTCACTAAAATTTAAATTTACAACCTTAAATCAATACAATTATAATCCATCAATTTTGTTATATATTTAGTATATGTGAAAGAATTTCTATAGCAATAAATAGTATGCAAATGACTATTGACTAATCAAGTTAAAACAATCAATGGAAATATATTTTGTTAGAAGTTGAAAAAAGGAAGTTGTAAGTGCAGCAATTTCTAACCTTGATAGTAAAATATGCTCGTGAACTGACCTTGTTATAAGCATTTATTGAAATGTATGTATAGAGAGTTGAGTAACTTATTGAATATTTTATGTTATAGCTTAAGCTAATGTTGAACATCAATTTATTATGTTACACTATTTTTGGCCATTATTAGTTTAAATATTTAATGCATTGTTTGGGGTTTTGTTTTTTTTAATTTAAAAAACCAGGTAAAAGTTATTCCTAATTAATACTATATTCATCTACTTTTAATTGTTATAATTTATTTTTTAGAGTTTGACTAACATTTACGATGTATTTTTGCATCATATTGATATGCAGGGGAGGATTTAGGCATATCTAAGGTGTGTCACGTGACACGGATTCGTCGAAATTTTTACTGAATATACCTATATAAAAAATGAATATACCTATATAAAAAAAAAAAAAAAAAACTAAAGGATAAAAGAATTGTAAGGACAGCCCATGTAACAGAATTTGCCTAGCTCAAATGGCAGCCGCGCCACATTTTTTGCGCAACGTCGTCACGGGTTCGACTCCCAGGAGAGGTTTTGTTTCTTCTGTTTGTTATTCACGTTTTAGTTTTCTCTTTTCTTAAAATTATTAAATGTTTGTTTTAAATTCAAAACAATAGGTCCCTTTTTTTTATTTTTAGAAATATAAAACTCAAAATCTCTTTTATCAAAATCCTCCAACTTTTTTTTATTTTTTAAAATATAAAACTCAAAATCTCCTTCATCAATTAGAATTATAGTTCCACTTTAATTCATTCAAAATCTAACAACTTTTTTATTTTATTTTTAGAATTAATATAAAACTCAAAATCTCCTTAATCAATTAGAATTACTGTTACATAAAAATAGTGTTGACTCATTAAATCATTGTATTTGTATATTTCTTAGTTGTGAGTTTGCTCAATTTTCTTTTCATTCTTGTTCATCAATCATTGTTATTCGGCATCTCAAATCTCCACGTCAGGTTAGTATTTTTTTTGCTATTCTATTTTTTTTATTATGTGCTTGTTTTTGGTTTAGGTTTAGTTTAGGCTTCTTCTTGATGTGGATAATTTAGGAATTTCAATTTCTGATCCTTTATTGGAATGAGGTGTTTCTTTCCTTACTCGCTAATTGGGTTTTATAATATATGATGTTTTTGATGTGCATGTTGTTCAGTTTGAGGAGTTTTAGGTGATGTTCAGTCATTGATGAATACGAATTTCCATAGGGGTTTGAGAATTTGCTAGATGTTAGCATTTTTAGTGATAATACATGACGGTGACTGCTTTTATTAGATAATAAGATCATTTAGCATGATCTGTATATTGCATTGCTTTTCGCTTTTGAATTGAATTCTGCATAAATGTAAGCAGAAGCTTTAGCGTTTTTGTGTAAAGATTAGTCTATTTGTAGTGGGGTTTAACTTGTTTGAATTGAAAACAGGTGAAATTGGTGGAGTGAGAAATGGCTTCAAGCGCAAGTGAGGAGGCAGGAATAGGAAAGTCTCTGGAGGGAGTGTCAAAGGGGCAGCAGATGGAAAATGGAACTCCATTAACATCACCTCCATACTGGGACAGTGATGACGATGGTGGTATGGTGCCTCTCTTTTTTGATTTTTTGCCAACTATCCTTATAAATTCTTTTTCATTCTTGACAGATGAGGGAAGAGTTTTATGTTGTTTGATTCGGTACTATTTGTTTCTCTCTCTTGAAGTATTGCTATATTGTTTCCATTAAGATGCATTTGTGGGAAATGAGATTGTCGTCTGTTTTGCGAATGCTTCCTTTTTATCCTGAGATCTCATAGGATAAGCTGGACCATTAGGATTGAATTGTTGTTGACAAGCACCTTTTCTGGTGATTGTGCGGTGACAACCTCACTCACTAAAAACAAGTTTTGTGGAAGCAAAAAATTCCATAGAAATTATTTCAACTAGTTGGGACTAATATTTAGAATTATTACTGGTGTATATGGTAACATAGAGATAAGTGTGAGATTTATACCTCATTTGCTTGCAGTTAGTGAAGGTCTTAATCTTAATTATTTAGGTCTCAGTCATTAAGTCCGTTTGTTTTTTAGGTCTGAATGTTACTCATTCAAATCTTAATCAGCAAGTATTTTTTTTTAAAATTGTTTCAACCACTTATTGGTTTGAATAAATCTGAATTATTAAGATATGCAACAAAAGTCTAAGTATCATTAAAATATGTAACAAATAGTTCACCAATTCCATCTATTTACTGCTACCGCCACTGTCCACCATTATCAACTACTGTTGTTGCCGCCCACCGTTATCAACTACGTACCGCCACCTTCTGCCACAATCACCATCGTTGTCAATCACTACAATCAGTTGTCACTACCACTAGCTATCATTTACTATCATCATCATCAACCACCATTACTATAACAACCACCAATTGCCACGGACAATCACTACCATTAATCACCATGTTATATATTGTCAACCACCGTCACTATTCAGCACAACCATTAGCTATTATTGTCATCCACCATAACTATCAACCATCATCACCAACTATCACCATCAACCTCTACTCCCAACCACCATCACCATTAGCTACGACACACAACCTACTATTAGCTAACACCATACCTAATTGATGTATAGTATTAGATTAATTTAGTGTTTTGTTGAATTGTATAATTATTAATCTTTGAATAAAGACATTTTATACATTTTAGTGTTTAAAAAAAAAAAACAGTTTAAGATTCAAAAATCTTAATCGTAATGCACATCTTAATATTCAAACATGTATTTGAATTTAGACATCTAATGCTTAATGCACATCTTAATATTCAGATGTATATTCATATTCAGATCACTTAATCTTAATAAAAACAAATGAGGACTTAGAAAATCTCTTCATTTAGAGCTTCTAATTTTTCTTTTTTTTTTCTTGTTTTTTAAATAATGACAATGGCACCCAAGGGTCTGGCCTAGTGGTCAATGATAGAGTTATGAGGTCTCAGGTTCAACTCCTAGCAAAGACAAAAAAAACATTAGGTGATTCTTCTCATCTGTCCTAGACTTGTGGACAGAGTTACTTGATTCTTGGTGCTGGTGGGAGGTGAATGGTAGCTCGTGGCATTAGTCGGGTGTGCGAAAGTTTGCCGGACACCATGGTCATAATAAAAGCAACCATGTCTAAGCCAACTCTTAAATTATAAGACAAATTATTTAGTATTGATATGAAATGGGTCTAAATAAAGTAAGTTGGATGTAGATAATTCATATAGGTAAACCCATTTAATTTGGGATTGAAGCACAATTGATTTTTTACGGTAGGCTCTTTGGCTATCATTTTGGGGACTATTTACTTTCAATATTTTCAAAAAAGCAAACTGAAGTAGTTTCTCGATTTTGAGTTTTAACGGATAGGGTGATGCTTTAGGCTATGTTGCTCAGACTCTCCAAAAACGTTGCCACATTGGTGTAGGATCCTCCAAAAATGCACTACTTTGGAGGATTTGGCATGCACCCGACGATATTCTTGAGGAGTTTGAGCAGCATAGGTCTTAAGTGCTTCTGTTGGAATAGGATATTACAAGTTTCAAGTTTTGAAATGAGATTATCCCGCAATGGACTAATTTATATGTATTGTGTTGACAACTATAATAGATGGATATTGTATTCATTCATTATATCATAAAGTCATCAGTACATCTCTTATGTTCTCATATTTTCAACACAAGAAATAAATTGCAAAATAGCATGCTGTTTCTAACCTATTAGATATGCTTGAAGTATACTTGATAATCCCCTGTAGGAAAGATATCATCATGCATGCATTTGCCAAATCGGAATAGAGATAGTACATGATTACCCCCTCCGACTTTAAAACTTTTTTCAAAGAGACATTGGAACTTTGCAAGGGTCCTAGTACCCCTTGAGCTATTTAAAAGTAATATAAATACCCCATTTCCCAGTCAACCTTAGATATAAGAAAAGAAGTGCAAATCATGCACTAATTATTGCTTGTCAGGTGTCAAATTTCTGCCCTCTAAATTTCAGAGAGACAACTACCTGTTTCTAAGATGAAGTTTCTTCCTTATACTTCACCAGTTCTCTATTTGTTTCCTATTTTATGTGCCTTATTTAAAGCCCTCCACGTTATTTATTTTCTTAACCTTTTCTATTGCCTCTCAGGACCTAAACCAGTTGAGCTATATGGAAAATATACCTGGAAGATTGATAAGTTTTCACAAATTAACAAGAGAGAACTTCGGAGTAATACTTTTGAGGTTGGCGGCTACAAATGGTATTATTTCTTTGGGAAGAATTGTCTTGTGAAATATACACGTGGAATTGACTCTATGATCTCGTCTTTTAAATGCTTAGAAGGTATAGCCAGATGTGTTTCCCACTTCCCATGCAGTTGTATTGATTTGGAAAAATCATGCATC